TTCGGGGATGTTCGGGAAGGTCACTTTGGTGCATCAGTACTTTGGAAGTATTACAGTACTTCCAAAGTACTGTCCTACTTTCAAAGTACTGCAGTACTTTCCAGGTGTCTCAGCCCTCAATCGTCCGTTTCGGCCTGTTCGGGGATGTTCGGGAAGGTCACTTTGGTGCATCAGTACTTTGTAAGTATTACAGTACTTTCAAAGACTTTCAAAGTACTGCAGTACTTTCCAGGTGTTTCAGACCTTAATCGTCAGTTTCGACCTGTTCGGGGATGTTCGGGAAGGTCACTTTGGTGCATCAGTACTTTGGAAGTATTACAGTACTTCCAAAGTACTGTCCTACTTTCAAAGTACTGCAGTACTTTCCAGGTGTCTCAGCCCTCAATCGTCCGTTTCGGCCTGTTCGGGGATGTTCGGGAAGGTCACTTTGGTGCATCAGTACTTTGTAAGTATTACAGTACTTTCAAAGACTTTCAAAGTACTGCAGTACTTTCCAGGTGTTTCAGACCTTAATCGTCAGTTTCGGCCTGTTCGGGGATGTTCGGGAAGGTCACTTCGGTTCTTCAGTACTTTGGAAGTACTACAGTACTCTCAAAGTACTGCAGTACTTTCCAGGTGTCTCAGCCCTCCAGTCGTCAGTTTCGGCCTGTTCGGGGATGTTCGGTAAGGTCACTTTGGTGCATCAGTACTTTGGAAGTATTACAGTACTTTCAAAGACCTTCAAAGTACTGCAGTACTTTTCAGGTGTCTCAGACCTCAATCGTCAGTTTCGGCCTGTTCGGGAAGGTCACTTTGGTGCATCAGTACTTTGGAAGTGTTACAATACTTCCAAAGTACTGTCCTACTTCAAAGTACTGCAGTACTTTCCAGGTGTCTCAGCGCTCAATCGTCAGTTTCGGCCTGTTCGGGGATGTTCGGGAAGGTCACTTTGGTGCATCAGTACTTTGGAAGTATTACATTACTTTCAAAGTACTGTCCTACTTTCAAAGTGCTGCAGCACTTTCTCGATGTCTCAGCGCTCAATTGTCAGTTTCGGCCTGTTCGGGGATGTTCGGGAAGGTCACTTTGGTGCATCAGTACTTTGGAATTGTTTATTACAGTACTTCCAAAGTACTGTCCTACTTTCAAAGTACTGCAGTACTTTCCAGGTGTCTCAGCCCTCAACCGTCAGTTTCGGCCTGTTCGGGGATGTTCGGGAAGGTCACTTTGGTGCATCAGTACTTTGGAAGTATTACAGTACTTTCAAAGTTCTGTCCTACTTTTAAAGTACTGCAGTACTTTCCAGGTGTCTCAGCCATCAATCGTCAGTTTCGGCCTGTTCGGGGATGTTCGGAAAGGCCACTTTGGTGCATCAGTACTTTGGAAGTATTACAGTACTTTCAAAGACTTTCAAAGTACTGCAGTACTTTCCAGGTGTCTCAGACCTCAATCGTCAGTTTCGGCCTGTTCGGGGATGTTCGGGAAGGTCACTTTGGTTCTTCAGTACTTTGGAAGTATTACAGTACTCTCAAAGTACTGTCCTACCTTCAAAGTACTGCAGTACTTTCCAGGTGTCTCAGCGTTCAATCGTCAGTTTCGGCCTGTTCGGGGATGTTCGGGAAGGTCACTTTGGTTGTTCAGTACTTTGGAAGTATTACAGTACTCTCAAAGTATTGCAGTACTTTCCAGGTGTCTCAGCCCTCCAATCGTCAGTTCCGGCCTGTTCGGGGATGTTCGGAAAGGCCACTTTGGTGCATCAGTACTTTGGAAGTATTACAGTACTTTCAAAGACTTTCAAACTACTGCAGTACTTTTCAGGTGTCTCAGACCTCAATCGTCAGTTTTGGCCTGTTCGGGGATGTTCGGGAAGGTCACTTTGGTGCATCAGTACTTTGGAAGTATTACAGTATTTTCAAAGTACTGTCCTACTTTCAAAGTGCTGCAGCACTTTCCAGGTGTCTCAGCGCTCAATCGTCAGTTTCTTTCAAAGTTCTGTCCTGCTTTCAAAGTACTGCAGTACTCTCCAGGTGTCTTAGCCCTCAATCGTCAGTTTCGGCCTGTTCAGGGATTTTCGGAAAGGTCACTTTGGTGCATCAGTACTTTGGAAGCATTGCCGTACTTTCAAAGTTCTGTCCTACTTTCAAAGTACTGACGCACCAAAGTGACCTTCCCGAACATCCCCGAACAGGCCGAAACTGACGATTGAACGCTGAGACACCTGGAAAGTGCTGCAGTACTTTAAAAGTAGGACAGAACTTTGAAAGTACTGTAATACTTCCAAAGTACTGATGCACCAAAGTGTACTGATGCACCAAAGTGACCTTCCCGAACATCCCCGAACAGGCCGAAACTGACGATTGAGCGCTGAGACACCTGGAATGTACCGCAGTACTTTGATGGTAGAACAGTACTTTGAAAGTGCTGTAATACTGCCATAGTACTGATGCACCAAAGTGATTGATACACCTGAAAGTACTGCAGTGCTGTTAAAATAAAGCAAAGTGCTGCTACACTTTGAAAATACTTTGCAGAGTAATACTTTGCAGCTATGTACTAGCTGTTAATGTTTACCGTAAACAATCGGATTCGAGTTAGTATTGAATAAACGTGCGATTCGTTAGTAGAGTTAATCTTTGATAAAAAAACACACAACGAAACCAAATAGAAATGCTGTAATTAGGGCAGACTTTTCTCGAGCTGATCTTACCTCGCTTACGCATTTTTCAGGTATAGAACTACTTTCTACCTTTCGATTTTTTTTGGAAAGAAAATGTTTTAGTTGTAGTGTCGTAGTACTGTAAGAATATAAAGTACTGCAGTACTTTGTAGAAGTGCAGTACTTGTGCAAATGCCCCATATGCTGTTCGCCTGTTTCGGGATGTTCGGCGATGTTCGGGAAGATCACCTTGAAAATGTATTGGTAGTACTGCATTATTTTATTTTGAAATAAGTAGTCGATTTACGAGGTAATGCCGACGACTTTCAAGTTGACTTACAAAGCGCTGCTGCAAATTATACAGTATGCACCTTGGCCCAATATTAATTATTTGTGTATAATACGCAGTGCAAGTATGGCACTAGCAGTTATTTAGCACCTCATTTGTTTTACAGTAGTACTTCTACCCGAAGTACTCATCGTTGTCTTACAACCCTTTTACTAACTCACGGTTTGTTAACTTATCGCGACGAAAATTGACTAAGCACAAACTGTCTCCAAGCGACTGTTAAAGAAGCATGCGATATCAAAGAAACCATTATTGTCAGTAAAAGTACTGACTAAGTTTCTATAATAGTAAGCATACATGAGCTTTATGGTTGCATGAGTACTGTACTGCTCAATAATGCGCATTCTGGTTCAAATCAGTACTGTAGTTAACTATCAATCTGTTAATAACAATTTAATAAGTACACTAGCTATCTAAGAAAAGCAGCATGTTAATCAGTATGAGTGCACTGTAAACAGTCTGTGTAATCACAAATAGAAAAAATTCGCTGAAAAACATGAAATATATTGTACAGAAATTTCTGTACTATGATACTGACCGAAGTTAATGGCGCCACTGTTCTCTGAAATAAGTAGTATGCTGCTGCCCCAAACCCCACGTGTACGACTGCGATTGACTATAAAACAATGGAAGTTATTGAACTAACACTTTAAATTTTAAATTGGTTATGGGTCAGAGTTTTAGTAATGCAATGTTATACCCTTAATATGCCCCTGTGCTCGATCACGACGTAAGTTTTCTCGATGTCGATAAACAAACTGAAAAAATTTAATGAAGCGTAAATACTTGTAAATGCAAGCACCAGTGGTGCACAAAAATATGCACCATAATGTACGTACTGTACATAAACATGCACCATAATATAAGGGGCATATATGGGGCAGAGTAGGAAGCGGCGAAGGGGCGACGATAGATACTGTACAATATAACTGACAGTTGTGAGGTAAGTAGTGGTCAGGTTCATGGTGCACAAAACATACGGTGCATGCACCAGTGGTGCATAAATATGCACCGTTGGTACGGATCTTTACTGGTGCCATCTAATCTTCAAGTGCTGTGTTTAACTTACTTCCGGCAAAACATGTACCATCTTGATACATCTGTTTTTCTCAAAAACCATTATCTTCTAAAATTTGCAAAAATGGGCAAGAGTATGCTGCAGGTGTCGGCATAGCATACCACGGAAGAAAAATGCAAAATTTGAGCTTGTACGGTATGTACACATTGTACAGTGCGCTTTTAAATGACTGTGATGTATCAGTTTTACGATGTCAGGCCATTAAGGGTTAAACTGCTTAGACAACTGCAGCTTTTAATTGCTCATATTGCTTAACCGAAAACAACATTGCCTGCAAAACTCCCTTTTGTGGGGTTTACTGAGTTTTTCGGTCTGCATTGCATTTACTGCATTTTCGGTCTCATGTTCAGAATCTGCGTTCTTTTCAAGTGAGGCCAGAGTGGTGGTTCTCATTAACCGCGGTGATCACCCTTCATCAGTACGAGGACTGACTTCAGTAAACATAGTAATAAGTTAGTAACCCATATTCCTAATTCATTAAAGTTGTCTTTATTTCGCGGGTTATTGCTGTCACGCTGCTATTGTCGCTGTACAACTGTGAGTGAAATAAGCAAAGCATAATTATGGATAGATTCGTAAGCGATCATAAACGAATTAAGGCTTTTGCTGATGGAAAAATCCAAAATCCTTTCTTTTTCGCGAGCGCATCGTAAGCAAGATTTTTTTATTAGCTATGAGAGAACAGGACTGAGGTTGCATGTATACATGGGATAGAGTGTGGATATCTCATCACTCTGCTCCAAGCGTAATGGATCATTCATTGCGACAAGAATATTGGGATCTGTAGTCAAGAATACTAGCTTGATTTGGTGACCCCAGCAAGTGTGATCATGAAGTCTGCTGTAAAATAAAACATGGACCATGCCAAAAATCAGTTCTGATTTCTAAAGCAAACTTGCTCGGGGGTACCGGTTATATAATGTTAACATTCAGTTCTTTTAGAGCACTTTTTTGCGAAAGCTTTTTACAACCCACACAATCGTTTCTCTGACGTCTTTGAAGCTGAGAGCTAACACAATCGGATCGACTACCGACTGCGCCGAGAACATCATTGCGCCAATCTGCAGCCAAACATACGGCAACTCCACATTGAACACCAGCTGGATGGTGAAGAATGACACGCCCGGCGTCCAGCAGATTACCACACTCAACGTCAGGCACACCAATAAAACCAGCGTCCGTTTCGGTTCTTTCGGGGGTTTCTTCATATCCATAGTCGGCATATTGCTGGAATTGTTCTCTGGATGACTGGACATGGTTTTCGTATTGGTGTTGGCCGTTGTGGTAGTGATGCGCGCGTTAAACCGTTTTTTTCGCCGGTACAACAGGAACGCATTACATCCCACCATGAAGATAATCGGGAAGTTGTAGTTCAATAACTCTGTTGCCGTTGCCCATGCCCATAGTGCCGACATGTTGATTAAACATTGTCCCGTGGAAGTAGGAATTTTATAGTATAGTCCGTCCATGACGACACCGTATAAAGGCAGCACATGGCAGTACAAAAACATGCATATACACAGCCTGATTGCGACAGCGGTATTGTGATATTTCTTGTAGGAAACCGGCCGCGTGATGGCCCATAAACGGTTAACGGTGATGAGGAGGTGCGCGTGGACTGTGGCCACCGAGGACGGGAAAATCGTGTAGAAAAGAAATGTACAGAGCGCATCGCCCATCCACCATTTACTGTAGAGACTGTACAGGATGTTAATGGGACCCTGAGTGGCGATGTAGATAAAGGTCATTAAAATGAGGTTGAAAAGGTACACGGAGAATGGTGTGTGAAGATTCCGGTTGACGATGAACAAGATGAGCAGGCCACCGTTGAACAGAAGCGCTGCCACCAGGATCAGTGTATCCATGATCGGGACAAACGTCCATGATTTTGTAATGTCAGCCGCTGTGGAGTTGTTCATGGTTATGAAGAAGATGTTGTGACTGCACCGCTGGACGATATTTTCTGGAATGGATGAAATCTGCAATCTGGAATAGCTCTTATAGCTGTGTTGTACTCGGGTAAGGCGAAAAATCCAATAACTCAAGTGCTGTGCCACAGGAGCATAAAATCATAATGGAAGAAGGACTTGGGATAATGCGGCATATTTAACGAGGCACACTTTCACACTGATTATAATCTTAAGACAGGCAAGAGCTGGCTTTGGATTACGCCGCGCCCAGAACTACCGTGGTCAAGAGTGAACATCCGCTAGTTAACATGCAGTTTATTAGTATCATTTTCATGCAAAATTTAAAAGACAGAACAAAACATTAATAAAAGTAGTGCCTTGAATGATCATGAAATACGTTCAAATGGTTTTCGGTTATGTAGAATGTATCAGATGTTGCCGCGTTGCGATAGAATGTTAAAACATTACAGTCATCAAACTGAACTGCTATTAAATGTGATACGGATGCGACTACTGTTTTTGCGAAGCTGTCCAGAATGTTGACAGTGTCACAGTATGTCTGTACTACCTTCTTTTTATAGCAAAACTTTATGTCAGACGATTGTTTTGAACGTTTCTCCACCTTTTATCAACGGATTGAAATTACTCCAGACTATGACGGTACCATGAGTGAGACGACTGTGTCATGGGGTGGTTGTTACGAAAGCTAAACTGAATAGATCACACTAACACCACCATGCAAAAACAGAGCATAGAAATTGTGACACCTCTTGTTCTTTTTTCCCTTGACGCTGTCGTCTGCTGTTCACGCTTAGTATGGTTGGTGCCTATTGAAGCAAAAAGAGCAATGATAGTATCCGATGCGGAATTATTTACACTCCCGTTACGCTGTCTGTATTTGTGTGCTCACTGTATGGTGAGTACATTGTGAAACTTTAATATTTATTATAATTATACAGAAGGGCTTCTATAACGTTTTGTTTGTCGTTCTGCCTATTATTGCTACTTGAAGCTGTATACAATTGTAACATCGCATGACCGGAATTAATTCTGTTTCAAATGCAAACCAATCGATGTTTTGCCCGGTACTCGATAATTAAAAAGAGGTATGGGAGCATCCGCTTTTCTTTACATTGCGCATACGGCTTACACTGGGTTCAACCAGGTGAGCAGCCTTCTACAACTGATCGCGTAGGAATGTTCCCTTCAATTGTGAGCAAGAACTTTCGCATCTGCATCTTCCTTCTTAATATACTATGTGATGACAGAGCCGTTTCTGAACAAGAAGAATGTATCAAAATCATTATGTATTTGCTGAGAAATGCTCGCCACACACTTCATGTCGTTTAACTCAAACATCTGCCTCCTCAGATTTGGAATTGTACAAGACGCACAAGCTAACCGTGCCGACATGCACCGGCAGCAGGTGTTAGCTGACTCTAGCAGATTCCTGCTAAAGAGTCCTTCTTATAATTGCACTGTGGGTTCGACAAACTTTTGGTGAATGAGTACAGTATTGCAGAAAACCGCTGAATAATATTCTTCCAAGTGCTAACGGCATCTTCCGGTAAAACTGAACAAGTTGAAGATAACGGAAGGAGATGCGCTTTCGCGCACCTGTAATTAAAAAGAAAGATTCTGTACTAGTGACTAGTAAATTACTTTTCATTACCGAGACAAAAGCGTCTTACTTGAATTTTCTCGCTTTATCAGAAAAACTAAAACTCCATTTCAGTCGGTGACGTAGTTAACCAAATTAGTCGGCCAAGAGGTAGCGAAGGACCTCTGTGTTCCAGAAAACGGGAATTTTGTCGGTCACGTCGCTCACGTCGGTCAAGCACTTAAAATCTTTAAAGATATAAAAGTAAAACATAAATAATGAAAAATATGAAGTCGGAGAGGTTTAAAATATTTTTTGCCTATTTGTTATATTAATTTTTGCATGAATAAATACAAAGCAAAATAATAAATAAAAACTGTGAATGTAGTGTGAACAGAAGTTTTCGAGAATTTGAAAAATAAGCAAGTAATGTGGTCTGCTGTCCAAGTAAGTAACAGACATATGTGTCTTTGTCCAGTTCAGCAGAAAGCAGTTTACTCAGAGAAGCAGTTCAAACGAAATGCACAAATAATTTACCCATAAGTTAGATTATATTTATACAGACTTCATACGGTAACCGGCCAGCTAACGCAATAACTGCTACAAAGTACTTTGCATAACACTATGACTGTCAGCTCAGGCCATAACACGTAGTTAGGTAAATGAAGCTCGCGATCGAACTAGGAAAAGCATTTTTATCCGGTCCGAAGAGAATTAAGTTGCTGAAATTTGAATATTTTCTGCACACGAAGCGCGTCTTCAACCCACTTCCCAAAGCTTGCGGCGAATTGTACATGAAGTTATGTACGTATGCTAGAGCATTCGCATGAGCTGTACATGGAAAATGGACTATTTAGAGGGATGTCGGCAGCAATAGCACTTCCCGTAAACAGTCCCAAAGCTCCACTTATCGTTTTGATTGGGGCATCGGGAGTCGCGGTGCTGCCAGTCATTGAACCAACATGCAGAGCCTTGTTCAGAAACTGTCAGATAGGAGTCGCAGTTGTAGGCGTCGAGAACACGAATGGACGATGCATTGGTATTCGACTCTGGCTGATCCGTCTGTCCCATTGCAACGGGCGTAAAGTGATGTGTGCGACAGCAGTAGCATTGTCCGAATCCGTTGTTGAAGCTAAACTTGTCGCGATCACCGCCGCAACGGTTATCACGCGTTTGCCAGTCATTGTACCAACAAGATGCAACACAACTGCCGCCCTGTAAATTAACGCCATCAGAGACAGACGTTCATCATAAGGACAAGCGCTGTTCGAACAAAAGCTTTTAAAGTCTGTAATCGACGGTAACTGTACTGTTTGAAAAACACTTTTGGCACCTTTATTGAGAGTGACCTTTGCAGTATATATTTCAAACGCTAAAGCTGCTTTACGGTAAAGTTACTTTATACCACGTTCAAGTTACTAAATAAAAGAAGCTTTCAGTTATATGGTAAAATACCTGGATATTATCGTCGCAGTCGAAGCCGGCAGTCATAACTTGAGAGTCGTTGTTGGCTTGTGTCATGACTTGAGAGCCTTTGTTGGCTTGTGTCATGACTTGAGAGCCTTTGTTGGCTTTTGCAGCGCCAGCATTAACCAACGAAGCGCTGCTAATGCAGCCTAGGACAAAGAGAATTGTAGCCACCATTTCACTGTGTAGTCTTTGACAAACGTTTTGTAGTTTGCAGTATCTTTCGGAAACAAGTTTTTATATGCCTGGGAAATATCAGCGAATGCTGCCGTAAGGACAGTGGGGATTTCCTGTAATAAAATCTAGGCCGCCTGTGTTGCCGGTTTCTGCTTAATCACACATGTTTTCGGGTCTAGAAACTTGTTTCATGTGTAGGTCGTTACTGTCGATTTTAGTATGCCGAGACAAACACTCAGTAATTTCGGCATGTAGACGTAAATAGCCGGAAACAAAAATGTTGCCTTGTAAATAAGTATCGCTTCTGCAACAGGAAGTGATTTGGCAACTGTTATTCAACGAAAATTGATGGAGCCTACCGTAACCGAAACGGAATTTCACTTAACGCTGTTGCTGCTGCTGTTTTCGGTACTACTTAAATGTGCGGCCAAAATTAATGTGTGTACAATCTGGGTAATTCACAGTGCTTAAATTTCCAGTAATTTTTAGTCATCCGCATTGGCTTGTTATTCTTTTACCGAATTGACAGCTGTAAAGTAAAATAACAAAACAACGGTCAAGTTATTACCACGTAAGAAGATTAGGTAGCCTAATTAATAAACAATTTTTTGATTACTAAAGGGACGTCAAGGCAAGCATGCAGTACAGTAACTGTAGCCACTATGATGGACCTTGGGCAGCACTTTAGCTGAGTCCAGAATGCCGTAGACGAAGCCGGGAAGAAAACAACAAAAGCCGGCTTTGCAACAAAAGCAAAGTTGCAGGCAGTATCCGATTTTAATTATAACTGCTGACGCAGCTATCAGTCCATTTCCTCCATCTCTTGCCTTGCGCCGCAGCGCACAGTAGTCGAATCCGTAATCTTAACTGCATGACACTTCGCAGACGGTTTAGCTGAGAGCGACTTTATTTGACGGCACACAATGCTACGCTTTCGCACTTCGGCGCACTCGAATATCTTGTCGAAACGCCAGTCATTCAGGTTCCAGTCCCAACATGGAAGGAAATCCAAGTACAACCACTCGCGCATTATTCCGTTGCAGCTCGTACAGAACAGCATACGGTCTTCATCGGTGGATCCCATGTAACCATGGATGATCGTAACATGCATAGATGGCACATCGTCGGGCAGACCGTCGGCTTGCAGAATCTGCTTAGCATACGGTTTGATCGTATAGCGCCCAATATGGCACATAACCAAAACAGGACAGGACGCCCGGCGTCCAGCTCTGCCTGGATGTCCAACCAACTGACATTTTCTTTCACGACGTATTCGTACTCAACTTCAAATGTGTTCAGCCATTCCACTAATTAAGGAAATGGTGCACCGACTGGCTGCAAACCCTGCGTGAATGCGGGCTGAAGTGACTCGTTACTAAGAATGTCCCGTGCCAACTGATGAAAAAATTAATTCTTCGGTATTCGTAATTCAGGTAGCAGCTCAGCAAGTACTACGCGAAATTTTTTCTTAATAGGCTGTCCAGGATCCAAGGCTTTTGGGCATTCGTGTATCAGCCTTTCAGCGTTCTCGATTCTAAACGGAGGAGCTTCGTAGTGGGCCAGGAAGCGCACACCGCAATTGGCGCTGTTGCTCCAGGAGATGTCGCTGTATTCCTTTTCGCTGTCCGTATGGCGTGGAAGAACATAGTTGGACCGCAGTTTAATTACTTCAGGTCTTTGGTGCACTGCGAAAACAATACAATGGCATACAATGTAAAGGTGCTTAAAATACGGCAGTAAGCTATTTTAAAACAGATTTTTTGTAACAGTTTTTATCTTATTAAATCAAAAGAATTTTTCTTGATTAAGGTTGTCGTAACCAAATAAGAATTACAAACAAGCAAAGCCTGCGTCAAAGTGAGGATTTTACATACATCCAGCAACCATTCTGTTGTCCGGATCGCAACAAATCCATGGATCGGCCAGTAGTTGTTTGGCGCTAGAACGCCGTAAAGGATCTTCGACAGTGCATTTCTTAATGAATTCAGCCAATAGCTTTTATATCGGTAGGAATCCAAGGTCGGCCTCCAGTTTACAGAAACCGCTCCAGTTGTACACTGTTCAACCGAAGCGGTTTTTGTTCCTCTGGGTTTTTAATGGCTCTGCTTTGGTTTTTCTCAATCGAAAATACCTCCAAATTAGCATTCGTATAATGGCACATCTGTGAAGACACTAGGAAAATGACAGTACAGACTCTGTACAGCCAACGCTCCAAATATCGGCGTTCTTTCGGATGCCTTTTGGTCGGTCGCCGTGACGATCATCAGCTTCATGGAAGTGATCATTTATTGGGCTGGGGATTTGGTTAATACGCTCAGGTGACAGATACATGAGGGTACCAACCATCGCGGCTGCGCTCAGTGTTTGGTTGCTGACCTCATTAGGAACCGGCACGAAATCATCTAAGTCAGCAATTTTCGCTACGATGTCCTGGTTAGCGTCGACACCGAGCAGAATGTTGTCAGGTTTTATGTCGCCGTGGAATACGCCATGTGAATGAAGGAACTCGACGCCGGTTACCATGTCTTTGGTCAGTTTGTGTACGACCGACCAGGCTGGTACTATTTTCTTGAAAAGTTCCGCAAGGCTGCCAGTTATGCAGACAAATAGGCTCACTGTCGTAGGTTTATTTACGTACTCCATTGCTAATTTAATACTCTGGCTTTGTTGTGCATACGGACTACTGACACTTAACTATGATCCCAGCTACGGTTCCTTAAAAACATTAAGTATTATTTAAGTGCAAAAACATGCAACCGATGTTTACGCGCAAGTATTGTTATCCTAAAGCCAATGGCGCAGTTAAATTGATGTCGCATGCTCTGTATGTACGTCATCTAACAATTGTAAGTTGTGGTGCTTACATAATCCTATACGTATTAAACTTGTTTATATATAAATTTATTTGTTTGTTTGTATTTGGACGAAAATTATCAATGTTTATTGTCAACGAAAAATTGCACGGCTGTTAATTACAGCAATCTGAAGTCCCGTACTTTGCTGCCGGAAATTATTTACCTTGACACCACTCCATTAAAACAATCAGCTGCGCCGGTTTAGTCAAGGATTGCGGAGATACTTCGACATGTGTGTAGCGTACGACGTTTTCATGCCGGAGATTTTTTAACAGCGTCCACTTTTCGTCCAACTTCTTGACGGTGTCCGAGTGGCTCTGCAGTGGAATTTCTTTGAGCACATAGCGGGCCATTTCGAAAGTTCCAGACGACTTTTCCCCAAAGTGGATATTCTGAACAAGGCTAACTGTGCCTCGGGATGGCAAACACAGCTGATGTACTTCGCGCATTTGCGCACTGTCGGCTCCAGTGGTTAACGTCCATAGTCGCTTAGGCGAGGACGACGGTGACCCTGTAAATAGCGAAACGATCACACGCTCTTATAACTGGTGTATCGACAACTGCAACTGGTGGTCCATGTATACTGTATACATATATAGTATACATTAATTGAATACCTAAAGGTTCTGCGGCCCGATAATTATTGTGATTGTGTTAATGCACACAGTCACAATACTTTTAGCATTAATTGTTAGAGAAACGGACCTATTAATTTACGTAAGAACGAACGTAATTTTACGTACCTTTATGCTTACTGAAAGCCGTGTCGGCCATGGTGAATATTCAGGAAAAGTTGCAGACTACTACTCTTGAGTAGCAACAAAGCGGAAACTGAAAAAAATATAGCGTTTGTAGCGTGCAATTACAAGAATCGCAAGCAGTGCTCGGAGTTCCTGTCTGCCTGCTAGTGACTGGTAATGGTACTAGTTTCGACGATTTATCTGTAACGTCTGCGTTAGCGATTTATCTGTAAACTGTATAGTATACACAGTTCACTTATAAGTACCGGCTACCAGTCAAGCTGAATCAACACACCTTATGTTAAGTAAGTTTAACAATATACTCGTTATTTTTCTTCCTACACAAAGACAACTTTACAAGTAAGTTTAACTGCCATCTGGCGCTCACGTACTAAGAACGTAGAAAAACTGGAAGCTCGTGTGTGGATGAACAGGTTGCGTCACAATAATAACTTTAGACCACACAGATAGTACCGTAGAGCGCAAAGTTTGTAAATATTGCAGTCGTGCTCCATAGCTTCCATTGCAGATGTTTGGCAGTGATACGGAAACGATACATTTTATCGCCACAGACTATCTCACCCTGGACAAATATTTTCCAGACGCAGCGTACAGGAAATGTCTGCAAAGCGGCCGACACACCATAGTTACTTACATGCATATACATACTAGGTAGTATGCCATACTTATTATTATCTGAACAGTACTGACATTTCAGCATTCCGTACAGCTCGCCTTAATACCGGCAAAGAATTTGTAGTAAAATCGCTGGTTATTTTCCTCTACTTGGATATAGGATATGCTGGACGTTAAGTTCACACTCGTAGATGCTCTACTAATCTGTATATTTTTATAAAAATATCAGGTTTTTTGTATTATAAAAACGCAAGCTGCAGCGGCACGAATGTTACTACTAACGGCAGCCTCTTGCAACGGTTCTGTACTTATGACTTACGAGTAACACTTGTGTAAATCTGCTAACGTAATCCAGATTTTAACGACATAGCAACTGGTTGGAAATCTTTATTTATTTTCTTTACTGTAGTTTTGTTTTCGTATCTGTACATGTGTTTTAGCAGTCTTGCTGATCGGAATTCATAGGAATACAAGCGCGACTATTAACGAACAACGCAACGAACAACGCTGTATACATATTTCGACTGCAATATGTATACAGTTTTGGTGCTTATTGTTAGTGCTGCTTGCAACAGATTACTGCTTCCGGACGCAAAATATCATCTGACCGGAATTATATTATCGAAGTCATCAGGCTTCATAAAGGAGGTTGGAAATGCCTGAACATTCGGACACCTTCGTACTTCAGGTAGACGAAACCGAACACCGCTTTCGCCTGATAAAACGCCTGGACTACAAAGTTGTACTGGTACAAGAGACATGTGCAGGCTTTTGCGCAGCGGAAGACCGGCATTTGGTAATTAAAATGCTGGAATACGAACTGCCTACGCACGGTGCGCATCGAATACAGGCCATTGCGACGATGAAAGAAGCGTGGAAGAGACTACGCCGGCTGAATCATCCCAACGTCCTTCCGTGCATTTATGCGGTATTGGATGGTGGATCATTCGAGGGGAAATTCCTTACCGGCACACAAGTAATGGATTACTCTGTACAGCCCAAGTAAAACGGCCTAGCTGTACTTCACCCGCGGTTTTAACGATATAATATTATGCCTATCGCGAACAGGAATAACATATTTACATTAATTTGTATTATCGTATCAGTCAGGCACCACGTTTAGGTAAACGAATGGTATGAATGCAGGACTAAGAATCACTGTTTTACAGTGGGAGACTTCGCTAAATACATGACAGAAAAGCCACAATTTTTGGACAGCGAAATCAAGCACTATAGCTACCAAATATTACAAGGAATCAAGTACATGCATACTGCCTTCAACATGATACACGGAGACCTAAAGCCGCAGAATTCTCGTGTTTCCGGATTCAGCTATGTCGCTCGGCGTCGTGCTAAAGATCATCGATCTCGATCACCATGCAGCTCTCAGCCAGTCCATGTCGCGAACTGAAGACGGCAAAAAGGTCGTGGGGACCAAGATGCTTATGTCCCCAGAGATGATCCTCAGTGGTAAAGGCGGTCGTCGCACTGATATCTGGAGCTACGGTTGCATCATCCTAACCATGCTAACCAGTAACCAGCCTCTGCAGTTTGCCTGGGACGAAAATGGTTTCGTAGATCCTCTGGATCTAAAGATCCGCTCAGGAAGCTACGTCACCATAACCGAAAAGGACTTCAGGTTGGGCAGCGGCTTGGCAGTACCCCTAATCCCTTTAAGCGTTACAGACGGGGAGTGTCAAAATTTTTTTAAAAGCTTGTTTGACGGTGGATGCTCGCAAGCGAGCAAGAGCCGAGTTTCTAGAGACAGAACCGTGGCTGTCTGACGAGCATCGTTATTGGCTGTCTAGAAAAGGTGAGCAGTGTCAAAAAATTAAAATGTTGCTGTTATCATACTTACTCTTCGGTGACGCAACGCTTAACCTTAGATATTCTTTGACTGAATTGCAAAGACCGTGTAATATACTATCCTTGTGAAAAAACTATTGTCCAATATTTTCATAGTCTTCATAAGAGCTCTAACATAACAGCAATCCATAGAGCCATTCAATCAAATGAAATACAAAACCCCTGCCCCTGCCAGGGGCACCCTAAAAACCACAACAAACCAGATTTATAAATTGAAAATCTTATTAGAGCTCTGAAAGTGTGCTGTTACTACACTTATCACACGTTGAAAATGATACGAGGACTAATGTAGAAATTAGAACAGCAAAAGCATGTAGAATGTTCGCGGCAAGTGCAACATAGCGAAAATTGCTTGAATTCATGCACGGAGCACAGTGCGTATATTGGACTTGCATTTTTCCGTAAACCACACTCTGTGCTGCAAATCTATCGGGCGGATACAGTACGGTAACGATCATTTTATGTGATTTTTCCCTCGCCGTTTTGTGACAGCTTATTTTTATTTACGCACAATTTTCTCGCGCAGTGCAATCAAGAGCACTTTTTCAATCAGAGCGATGTTCAATCGGTTTTATTCACACATGACTCACTAAAGTGTGCAGTATCAACCTGCATCGCCATGAAAGCTGGTCGCAGGAAACAGCCAGCTGGACCCTTTACCTACAGAACGTCGAACCGGGCAGTCTTCGCCACTGGATTTCGGGGATTAACTGCGCTCGTATTGTCATCATTCATTCATTACAATCGAGGTACAACCAACAAGTTTACGACACAGCGGCCAACCTGTTGTTAGAAAAATTACGCGGACGACCTTTCGGCGATGACCGGTTAGAAATCTGCCTTAACCATCTATCAACCGTCATTACAACCCTCCCAGAATCCGAGCAAGGACTTTACAGAATCATCGAAGCCAACCTGCGAAACAACAACGGTGCGCTTATTATCAGACAATTTTTCCCGGTGTATCTATCTCTTCAAATGTTAGCCAGTTTGCTGAATGACCTTTCAGCCAACGATAAATATCGCTACGTCGTGGAAACAGATATTAAGTGGAGTGACATTCAGCGTTCATTGGACGGCAACCATCCCGTTATCTGTCAAGTGTCCGAAAACGAAATCGATCAAAGCGAGCACGTGATCAATCAGGCTAAAATGGTTTGGCTGGCGCCAATTTGCCCCCTGAAACTGGTGGAACTGGATTTTATGGTTGTAACGGGCTATTCAGAGCGAACCAGTGGGGAAATATTCGTTGCACTGACAAAGGCCGATGGGCTGAGTGCGGAAATGAATCTGCACGACTTTGAACAAGTATGGCAGTGGCAAAGTACTGATCCGTTGACTCAGCAGTATCTGTTGTCGGAAAACATAAGACCGACATCGGCTCTCTTCCGCGCACCAAACCGTAAATAATCAGGTTTGCGCGATTTTACTCATGCCTTTATGTTGTGGCTTTTGAACCATATAATACCGTTGGGATTTAATGATTTTCATTAACTCAGGCCTCAGATGCCTGTTTCTACCCAGTTTCAAATAAGTACCTACTTTGAAGAGCATTTAGCTTTCCGAAGAAGGTTTCAGTTTTTGGTCTCAGGTATCGCTTTGTAGTTTGTGCCACGTTGTTTGCAGCCACAACTTCTTTTTCCAGAAATCTTCTCCGCGCTTAGTTATTTTAAAATTTAAAATCTAAGCAACCATGCATGCTAAAACAGGATGCGCGTGTTAGATATACACATACTTCAGTAAGGATTTAGCACTTAGTAGTAAAAAATCATATGACAAAAACTAAATTCGGATGAATGGATTGTGACAGCTTGACCACCACATTTCACAGCGTGCGTTATTGGAAGCAGTATGAGTAAAATAAAATCCTAGATTACTTAGGAGGCGCTTCGTTAGAAGATAAAATTAGCAAATGTCTTCACAGACTGCGCTACAGCCAGTACCTCAAAGAAAAGTTTAGAGCCATGGCTAAATAAATGAAATCTAGTGAACATCAGTCCAGCTCCTCCATTTCCCGCACCATGCCGCTTTGCGCAAGGTTCATTTGTTCCTCAACGCAGACTTCAAGATACTTGCTGGGCATGCATTTTCTACGGTGTACCAAGCTACGCTTTCGCGGCCATGCGAACTAGAATATCGTGTCGAAGCGCCAGTCATGTAGTTTCCTGTCCCAGCACGGGAGCAATTCGCCATACGGGTCGTCGATGTCAGGAACAGAAAATTAATATGATGCTAACTGGTTAAATTCACCCATATGCTGGAATTTATCGGACGATGGCATTCACAATTTCCTCTGCCATCATCCCATATCAATAGGGTATACGTGACAAATGCTCCGAGTAACTGCAAGAAAGCGGCAGAGGTTAATGCTTAACAAACATCTCGAGAACTGCAGATAAAAGCACACGACTTACACCGATGACAAACTCTGGGTTGACGTTCAACATACCGCCTAGGCTGAATCCTATGTGCTCTCTGTCCAAAAGCTGCATATGAACCAGTGCTTTCGTCCGGTACAAATGATGAGCGCTATCGTATGGCAAATCAGCAATTCGAAAGGACACTGCTTCGCACATTCCTGTTGCCTGAAAATAAGAATAAATAATTTCGAATTCTGATTGAGTTTAGCAGTTAGGGTTTCGATTATTCTATAACAGTACGTACCGCCAACTTAATAATTAATATTTTAACAGGAAAACAAATAAAACGTTAACAAGACTTTTAAGTGCTAAGTGCACGCATAAAACAGTTCATAAACACGAAAACCAGCCTTTTTTCATAGTTGGTGATTGCTTTATTGTTTTTAACTACAGCATTTGCTACTGTGCAGGGGTTTCTAATTTAAACCATTTGAAGTCACTGAAAAATATTAATTTGCCTAACCTGTACATTCAACAAAATGAATGCTACGGTGCGCAGTACTAGAAGCGCGCACAGCTGATACATGGTGTACATCATATTGTTAGATGTGTCGCTTCCGCTCCAGTTTCCTTGCAGAATACCTTTAAATACAGTCACTCTGTCCATGGGCCATGAAATATCTTGAACATATAGCATCAACAAATAGAAGTTCACTCCTTTGCGTAAGCGTTGCACATGACGGCATAGAACCGAATGCGTCTTCAGAATCTTGTCGGCATCGCTTAAACCAGCACTCGCGTACGCTTTCGCAATGTTGGCAAAAGTCATGCCAAGTGTTGCGGATATTAGGATCAAGAAGCACTGCGCCATGGATGTAAGACCGCCAAACAGCCACGATACCGATTTTATAATGGCATCTTTAATGAAACTACGCTGGCTGTAGTTCAGTGCAAACACCTGTCGCAATTCGAAAGCAATATAATCAAGTATGGGATACCAAATATAGCCACAAACCATTCCTAAGAAAGTTACCAAACCCAGAACAACTTTCCTGTTCGAACTAGTGAGGAATGGCTTGCATATCGCCATACAACCGTCAAGCCAGTGTTCAAGATTCAAAATCCGAAGACCAGACCGATGTAGGTAAATGGATAGCAAATCCTGGTAAAAACGTTAGCAAACTGCTGGACCAAATCCGACGCTGACTCCAGTTTTGCATTACTGTTAATTGTGATCAGGGTACACGTACTGACAATCGTCCCCAGAAATATCACGGTGGACCAACCCATTAAAATGCCTTCCAAGACTGGATTAGCTCGGCAACGAAGTTTTTTAGGTGCGTTCGGCATGCGCGCGAATCTGCCCACGAAGCGCATCCCCAGCAACCAATATGCGCATACTGCTTTTACGCAGTCAGTGTTTACGCCGATCCACCTCATTGTACTGACACGATCTTTCGAAAATCGAAGTCAATCGAAACAAAAAAAACCTAGCGACAGATATTCTCCAGGTAGTCACGGAACGAATGCACAGTTATTATTCTCTAATACTGCAACGTTCAGCGCCGAGAACAGCAGTTATGAAGGTACCCTTTATGCCCCCAAGTCACACCCATTGAGCCGACGGAAAACTGATGTCTTCAGGGAGTACTATCTTTACTGCACTAACTAAAAGGTACAATCCGCAAAAGCCATGGGTTTTTACATTTCGGTAATGCTCCTTGCATTCAGACAGCATATCGCCACCGCAGCGGTTCTCTCGTGGGGAATCAAAACAAACCTTCGTCTCAAGTTCAACCGCAAACACATAATATAACTACCTAGAAATCTTTTATGGTTGCATAACTTTGGACTCTTTCTACTGGGTTTGATATTATGAAGATACTGTAGTACAATGGTTCCTGTTTCTCGTACAAAACAGCCACAGTGAGTTGAATTGGCGCGACTACTGAATTTGAGTAGCTCGTAGCCTCGTGCTCCAGCGTTTTAATTACTAAACGATGTGCTTAATTGTGCTGTGTATGGCCCTGTGCCTATCTTTTGAGAAACCGAAGCTTTTTACAAATTTTTTTAAAAAAGTACAATGGAAAACACAAACAGCTTACTAAAGGAGATAATGCACTATATGGTTAAAAGTCTATGCGCCGGGCATGTGACATCGGTCACCAATAATTATGCTTCATGGCATTCATTGGCATAGAAGTACAGATACAGTACTTGTAAAGCCCAAAACTGCAGCTTTAGACATACTGACAGTAATCGAGCGAATTTCATACAACGTCCTGGTAGTAATCCAGTACAGGCTGTGCTGTAAAAATTAGCCTGTATTGCACGGTATTAATCGTAAATTGAGGATGACCCAGCTTCGCGTATGTGCAGTTGCGCACAGTGTGCATGTAGGTGACGAACGTGTGGCTTAAATTAAACTTTAAGCCACAACATATATTCAATAGACCATTTTTAGGTTTACAGCCACCTTCAGATTATGTTGTCTGGGAACGCTCATAACGGAAACCCACTTGTCTATTAGATAATTAAAGAGGTATCAATTCTTATGAAGATGGTATACAGAACGAGTATACCAGATGACATGAAATGATATACTCTAGTGCTTTAATTAGAATATCCGTTGATGCCACTGCGAGTAGTTTTGACGCTATTTAGTGGAATTCACGCATAAGCTTGAGTTCATCGCACGATTACATTCGCAGTTTGCTTTACCATCATCCCATATCAACAAGGTGTACGTGATAAATGCTCCGAGTAACTGCAAAAACAATAAAGTATATCAAACAAACTTCAGATAAAAGGACATAACTTACACCGATGACGAACTCCCGGTTGACGTTCAACAGACCGCCTAGGCTGAATCCTATGTGCTCTCTGTCCAACAGCTGCATATGAACCAATGCTTTCTTCCGGTACAGATAGTTATCGTATGGCATGTCAGAAATTCGTGAGGATATTGCTTCAGGCATTGCTGCTGTCTAAAAATAAGACTAACCAAGCTATAAGTGTTTCCACATCAGTTTACATATTAGGAGCATCCGTGGTTTTAATATAATATAATGTTTCAAAAGAAACACACATAAAACATTAACTATTATACTCAGCGCTTGAAACCAGTCTTATAATGTTTTATGAAAAAAGAGTGATATCCTCGAATTTCAGCCTTTTAATGTAGCTAGTGATTGTTATGTGTGCACTTACTACTGCACAGAAACTTCCAGTTTAGAAATTTGAAAGTCATTGAACAAATTCAGTGTTGCTCACCTGAGCATTCAGTAAAACGAATGCTACGGTACGTAGTAATATCAACGCGCACTGATACAGAGTATAATTCATATTGGCAGTTGTGTCACTCCCGTTCAATTGACCTTGAAGAAAGTCTTTAAAAATGGTCACTTTGTACATGGCCCAAGTAATATCTTGCACATATAGAATGAGCAAATAGAAGTTCAGTCGTTTCCGTAAGCGCTGCACTTGATTGCAAAGAACGTAATGCATCTTGAGAATCGTGTCAACGTCAGCTAGAGTAGCACTGCTGTACGCTTTTGCCATGTTGGCAAAGGTCAAGCCAAGTATCGCGGAGATTAGGATCAAGAAGCACTGCGCCATTGATGTAAGGCCGCCAAACACCCACGATACCGTTTTTATAATCAAAAGTACGGCATCTTTAATAAAACTGCGCTTACAATAATTTACCGCAGATATTTGTCGGCCTTCGAAAATAACGTAGTCGATTACGGGATACCAAACATAGCCGGAAACCATTACTAAGAAAACTACCAAAGCTATAATAAGTTTACGGTTCGAACTAGTAAGGAATGGTTTGCAGATCACCAAGCAGCCTTCCAACCACTGTTCAAGATTCCAGAATCCGATGACCAGGCCGATGTAGTTCAGTGGATAGCAAATTCTGGCAAAAAGATTGGCAGCCTGTTGGACCAAACCCGACGCTGATTCCAGTTTTGCATAATTATCTACCGGGATTGAGAAAAATGTACTGACAAACGTTCCTAAGAATATAACGGTAGACCATCCCAGCAAAACGTATTCCAAGATCCGATCAGCTCTGGAGAGAACTTTTTTCTGCTCGTCCGGTCTGCGCGCAAATCTGCCAAAGTAACGCATCGCAAATAGCCAATAATCACAAACTGTTTTTACGTAGTCTTGGTTCCCATCAAGCCGTCTCATTGTGATCTCCGATCTTTGTAACTGATCTGTACAAAATGTCTACCAAAGGATACTACCAAGGTCGTGGAAGGAGGGTATGCATTAATGAAATATCTGGCGCCGAGAACAACTTGAAAATGATGCTGCAAAGCCATAACGTTGTAGTGGCTGTAAACAATTACGAAGGTGTAGTTAAATTACCCCAGAGACTCTCGTTGAGCGGATGGGAAATTACCTGTCTGCAGGAAGCATTATCCTAAGTGCCCTATCTGAGAGTAAAGAACTCGCAAATGCTGTATATAGTACACTGATACCCCTCAACACCTATTATAATTTAAAAAGCAAAAAAGATTTAAAAAGCATGTAGTGACCGATCAAGCGGCTAGTAAAGATCTTTGGTGCGAAAAACACAAGCCCGGCATCCGCTCTCTTATTCGTATGAAATTCTTCCGACGTTCGTGAAGAATTCATTCCTGCTGTAATGAGATTGGTGCCGCTGCCATAATTGATTCGCTAAATAAGCATGTTGCATACAATATCAAATTTGGATTGAGCTTAGAATATTTAGCAATGTACTAGTAACTGGCTTGTTACTAAACGTTTTGCCAGGCTCTTCTGTTTCCTTTTCGGTTTTCGTGATTTGTGCCTTTTCTAACACTAAGTTGTCCTGCATATTTTTCAAACAAAACTTTTCTTCCGAATTAGATAAAGCTTGCCAAGGTAACTAAATATCACCATTGCAATATATATGTTGGGTTACATGCTCACGTTAAACATGGTAGATGCCTATGTAGTTACGAAAAAATGCTTTGAAACAACGCAACAAGAGTGGATTAGTCAACAACAATATGTTAGCCTGAGGGTATGCGTTAAACCGGTAAATGCAGCGACAAACTGTTATTTATCAAAGCGTGACCTCCGCCATCTTCTTTTTTATCATCCCATATCGAAAGCGTATACAGTACGTGATGAATATCCCAAGCAACTGCAAGAAATCAAGAATCCCATTTCTAAACATACGGCATCACAACGTCTGGGAGACGGTTACTGGGAGACGTCTGGGAGACGGTTACGTCTGGGAGACGGTTACAGCGATGACAAATTCGCGATTGATGTTCAGAGTGTTCTCTGTCCATTAAATGCACATGAGCAAGCGCATTCTTCTTGTACATGTCGTAAGACATATTCCTAATTCGTGCGGAGATCGCGACAGATATTGCTGTTGCCTAAAGATTTGACGTCACTTCATAAATAAATCTGAAATGTAGTATAGTAATATATTTTTGTAGTAATACAATCAAATTAGGATGCAACAACGATTGTTTGTGCGGTTGTGTCCTATATTGCTGTATATCTATAAAAATATGGTCACCTGAACATTCAGCACAACGAACGCAAGCGTACGCAATACTACCAGCATCCACTGATAAGGAGTAAAGTTCAGACTCAAGGGGGAATCTCGCCCGCGGGACCGTCCTTGCAAAATTTTCGATGGTGATGCCGATGAAAACTGTAGCAACTGTAGTAAAAAATCCAGTAGCCA